TTCTTGATAATGACTGGTTTGATGTAACACTATGGTTGATTTGATTTCGAGTGAAGAAGATAATATCTTCAGTGCGTGATTCAATTCATGAATTCATAGAGTGAGGAATCTTTACTAGTTCTTACACCAACATCACATATAGGTTCGGAATCTTCACTTGAATGATTCAACTTGATCCTTGTGGCGTCACTTCTTCTCTGGTTGTTGCACATACATTCCCTTAGTAGGGTCATAACGGAGTTTGTTTGGTCAAATGAGATCATCGATAATAATCTTCAGAGATAACGTAATCGCATCAACCATTTTGTGGTTCACAAAGAGAGGCTCAACATAATATTCCAATCAGAATGCTTTTACCGTAGTTCACAGAGCGTAGTTTTCAAAGATCGGTATAACGTATCTTGATGAATTAAGACAAGTTCCCAAGGGTTTAATATTTTGATACAACAATGGAATTCAATCTTTTCAAGATTGATCAAGCGAGATGTTTCAAGAGTGTAGTTAACACAACAAGATGAGTCATTCAAGGATGTGAGTCACAAGATACAAAGATAGTGTTTGCGACTTATCGTTGCCAATCGTAGATTTTCTTTATTCAATGTTTCACTCTTTGGAAGTTACTCAAGGAGTCATTGTCCTAGGAAATAGTCATTTTGACTTTTAGTCTCGGATTTGATCGTATTTCAGGACAGCGAATCTAACTATTCATTGGTCTCAATATGTCACATTGTAAGTAGACTACAGTATTGATGAGTAAACTTTTGTCTGTAGATAGTTGAAGCGAATTCATTTTTCTGTACGTATTTTGGCTGGTGATAATTACTTTTCCATCAATGGTCAGGTTCCAGACACTATATATATCATGATTATGGGAAGAGTATCTCACATTCTCACATTATGGAAGGAACTTCTCGAACACTTCCTTACACCATAAGATTCGTTGGTCTTCTTGGTAGTCATTCTCTTGGTAGAAATCCAAAGTTTATGGCTACTGCAGTAGATTTAGGAAGAGAATTTATAAGGCGAAGAATTAGTCTTGCTTATGGAGGAGGCAACGTAGGCCTACAAGGAGCTGTTGCTTCAACAGTCTTTACCAGTGGTGGTCTCGTTAGAGGTTTCATTCCTGGGTACATAGCAACACGACGGGTCTATGGACCTACATACGGCGTAGAGCACACAGTTTCCAGCAATTACTACAAATATTTTGAGATGAATCATGCCGTGGAAGCTTTCATCATTCTTCCTGGAGGAGTTGACACTATGGAAGGTTTGTTCACCTTGATCTCGTGGGCTTCTGAAGGGTTACACAATAGACCCATTGGTCTCTTGAACATTGACGGTTATTTCAATAACCTACTCAAATTTCTAGATGATGC